AAAAAAAAAAAAAAAAAGAAAGGTAACCACTGAAGTTTGCTTGACAAAATTGTCCTTCAGGTTCCTGATTTGCAGAGGAAACTACAAGACATTCTACAGGACACAGAAAAAAGTAAATGAGAGACTCTAGGCCTGCGGGCTGATGACTGATGTCCCAACTTTAAATTCTAGATGACTGTCCAGGCTGTCAGCTATCTGTCTACCCTACAAGACTCCCGAAAGTTGCTTACATCCTTCTCCCATTTCTCAGGTAGTATTATATCCTTCTGAGGTCTTTGATGTGGTTAAAGACTAGATAGTTGTAATTTCCTCAGTTATGATAAAAGATAAGTTAGATATAAAACCTTAAACTCATAAATATAAGATAGATAGGATATCTTCTTTAATATTATAACTGTAATTCTTGCTCAATAATTGTTATATGTAATTTTACTATGTTAAAGTTAAAACCTTCCTTTTTAAAAGAGAAAAGGGGAAGTGCTGTGGATATCACTATATATAAATAAATTTGATTGGCTGATAGCCAGACAGGAAGTATAGGTGGGACTAACAGAGAGGAAAATTGAGGAAGGAGGAAGGAGAGGGGAGACTGCCTGGAGCCACCGCCAGGACAAGCAAGATGTAAGGTACCAGTAAGCCGAGCCACGTGGCAAAGTAAAGATTAATAGAAATGGGATGAATATAAGAGTGAGAGCTAGACAATGATAGGCCTGATCTAATGGCCAAGCAGTTTAAATAATGTAAGAGTCTGTGTGTTTATTTATAAGTGGGCTCTGGGACTGGCGGGACTTGGGAGCTGGAGAGAAATTCTACAGCTACAAAATAATGACCAACATTGAAAGATATTTATAAATATACACTCAGTGGCACTCACATATTTCTAGTGAACAACAGCTGTCTAAATAGACTTAAAGTCCACTCAACAGGAGGGAAATCATGCCTGGTACTGATAAACTAGCCAGATTTCCAGGGATCATACAGTCATGGACCTTAGAAGAGAATCTACTACTGCAACTTTGCTAGTACAACATAATCCATAACTATATTCTAAATAATAAAGTGATACTCACAGGTAATTTTAGCTATCATTCCCCACCAAACAAGTCTCTCTTCACAGAAAATGGAAGCCATCACAGAAAACCACAAATGGACACAAATGGATTAAAGGACTGTTGGGAACCCAGGCTTGATAGATACATCTACTTCAAAACTCCTGCATCTGAGTCTCAGGTATCATTGCTTAAAGAAGGGGTAGAAAGTTTTTAAGAGATAGAATACCAGCATGTCTGCTGTGAAAAATCATCTCAGAGAAATAACTGCATAAATAAGACACATACAATCACAGACAACTAATTAACTACTTAGAAGAATTAGCCTCTCCCATGAGCTCCTTAATAGATTAGGTTATTCAATATAAAGTAGTTAGTCTTAAAACAATATATATATATATATATATATATATATATATGTATATATATATACAAAAATGGAGTCAACAGTTTGTATTTATATATTTGTCCATACATAAACACACAGACACACACATATACAGACACACACACACACACAAATACATATGCATATATGGGACCTTGTAATAATAAGTTTAAATATAATAATAATAGTAATAATAATAATAATAGGCTATCAATCTGAGAAAGAGACAGAGGTAGTGGTCTTGGGATGGGCTAAAGGGACAAAAGAGGAAGAAAGTGATGTCATTATATTTCAATTAAAAATTACAATATTGCCCTGCTCCAAAAGAGGCTACTCTAGCATCAAGATCCTCAGCCAACACATGCAGCATAAGCACCTATTCCACCAGAGGTCATGCCAACACCCAAATTCCTTGAGGCTACAAAGCATCCAGAACCCCAGAAGACCCCAGACTAGACCAGAGGCTACCCCAGCCATCAGAATTCCAGCCTCTAACTTGGGCAGACACCCTCTACTCTACCACAGACCACTCTGGCAAGAATACCAGAGAGAAAACAGAAACAAAGGAACAAAACAAACATCCATCCAACAAGGACAAACTCAGAAATTGGAAACTAGACCTAAAATCACCACAAACCCATGTACATAAACACCAGATAAGAAGACAATGAACAATAGCCAGGACAATAGACAACATCAGAGCTCAGTTAGAGCTAACACAGTTAGATCACAAGAAAATGACATTCAAACAAACTTTATAAAGGAGACAGAGGCCCGTAAAGAGGAAATGAAAAAAATCTCTTAAGAAATCCAGGAAAACACAAACAAACAGCCGGAGGAAATTAATAAATCCCTTACAGAAAGCCAAAAAAAAAAAAAAGCTGAAGGAAACTGTTCAAGACATGAAAATGAAAATAGAAGAAATGAAAAAAAAAACAAACTGAGGAAAATCTGGAAATGGAAAAGCTAGATAAGCAAACAGGAACTACAGAATCAAGTATCACCTACAGAATACAAAAGATGGAAGAAAGAATCTTAGGCATTGAAGATATGATAGAAGAAACACATACATTTGAAAAAGAAAATATTAAAACAAAAAATTACAACCACAAAACATTCAGGATATCTGGGACACCATGAGAAAACCAAACAAGAATAATAGGAGTAGAGGAAGAAGAATCCCAGCTCAAAAAACCAGAAAATATTTTCAACAAAATTGTAGAGGAAAAATTTTCTAACCTAAAGAAGGATACGACTATAAAGGTCCAAAGCATACAGAACACCAAATAGATTGGATGAGAAAAGAAATTCCCCTTTCCACATAATAACCAAAACACTAAACATACAGAACAAAGAAAGACGATTAAAGGTGGCAAGAGAAAAGGGGCAAGTAACATATAAAGGCAGACCCATCAGAATCACACCCAACTTCTCAATGGAGACTCCAAGAGCCAGAAGGTCCTAGACAGTTGTCCTACAGTCTCTAAGAGAACATAGATGGAAGCCAGATTATGATACCCAGCAAAGCTTTCAATCACCATAGACAGAGAAAACAATATATTCCACAATTAACTCAGTTTTGAACAATGTTTAGCCATGAATCCAGCCCTACTGAAGGTACTAGAAGAAAAACTCCAACTCAAGGAGGTTAACTATACCCATGAAAGTACAGATAATAAATAATCTCACATCATCAAAACCTTAAGAAGGGATACACACACACACACACACACACACACACACACACACACACACACACACACACACAAACCACCACCACCACCACCACCACAACAGGAAATTGCAAATATTTGTAATTGATATCTGTCAATATCAATGGACTCAATTCTCCAATAAAAAGACAGACTAATAGAATGGATGTGAAGAAAGGATCCATCCTTTTGCTGTATACAAGATAGGAAACACACCTCCTCATCAAAGACAGATATTACCTCAGAGTACAGGGTTGGAAAAAGATTTTACAAGCAAATGGACCTAAGAAGCAAACTGGTGTAGCAATTTCAATATCTAATGAAATGATGGCAAACCAGAGTTAATCAAAAGAGACAGGGAAAGACATTTCACACTTATCAAAGGAAAAATTCACCAAAATGATTTTTTAATTCTAAATATCTATACCCCAAACACAAGGGCACCTACGTTTATAAATTAAACACTACACAAGCTTATATCATACATTGACCCTCACACACTGAGAGTAGGAGACTTCAGTACAGGTAAAAAAAAAAACACAGAGAAGTACTGGAGCTAACTGATATTATGAACCAAATGGACCTAACAGATATCTTCAGAACATTTTACCCAAACACAAAAGAATACACTTTCTTCTCAGCACCTCACAACATTCTCCAAAACTGACCACATACTCAGATCACAAAGCAAGTCTCATGAGATAGAGGAAAATTGGAATAAACCCTGATTCCTGTCAGACTACCATGGATGAAAGCTGTATCTCAAAAACAACAGAAAGCCTACAAATTCATGGAAATTAAACAACTCTCTAATGAATGACTATTAGGTAAAGGAAGAAACAAGAATGAAATTAGGAACTTCCTAAAATTCAATGGAAATGAATGCACAAAATGATTGAATCCCAATTGTGGGATACAATCAAAGCAGTGGTAAGAGGACAATTCAAAGCACTAAGTCCCTCCATAAAGAAATTGCAAAGATCTCATACTAGCAACTTAACATCACACCTGAAAGCTCTAGAAAAAAAAAAGAAGCAATCACACCCAAGAGGAGTAGATGTCAGGAAATAACCAAACTGAGGGCTGAAATCAATAAAATAGAAACAAAGAACAATACAAAGAATCAATGAAACAAAGATTTGGTTCTTTGACAAAATCAAGAAGATAGACAAACCTTTGTCTAAACTAAGTTAAAGGACGCAGAAATAATATCCAAATTAACAAAATCAGAAATGAAAGGGGGCACATAACAACAGACACTGAGAAAATCCAAAGAATTAACAGGTCATATTTCAAAAACCTATATGCCACAAACTTGGAATATCTGAAACAATTTTCTTGATAGATATCACTTACCAAAGTTAAATTAAGGTCATATAAATAATGGAAATAGACTTATAACCCCCAAGGAAATATAAGAAGCCATCAAGTGCCTCCAAATAAAAAAAAGCCCAGGGCCAGATGGTTTAATACAGAATTATTCCAGACTTTCACAAAAGACCTAATACCAATACTCTTCAAATTATTCCACAACAAAGAAACAGAAGGAACATTGCCAAATTTATTTTATGAGGTCACAGTCACTCTGATACACAAACTACACAAAGATTCATCAGAGAAAGAGAATTACAAACCAATTTTCCTCATGAACACTGAGGCAAAAAATGCACAATAAAATACTGGAAATCAAATCCAGAAACACATCAAAGAGATTATCTACCATGACCAAGTAGGCTTCATTCCAAAGATGCAGGAATGGTTCAACATGAAAATCTGTCAATGTAATCTACCATATAAACAATCTGAAAGAAAAGAATCATATAACCATCTCATTACATGCTGAAAAAGCTTTTGACAAAATCCAATACCCTTTCATAAAAGTTTTGGAGAAATCAGGGATACAAATGTTATACTTAAACATAATAAAGCCCATTTATAACAAGGTTATATCCAACATCACATTAAATGAAGAGAAACCCAAAGCAACTCCACTAATATCAGGAACAAGACAAGATTTCCAAGTTTCCATTTGTATTTAATATAGTACTTTAAATGCTAGCTAAGAGAGCAAGGGGATACAAATTGGAAAGGAAGACATCAAAGCATGCTTACTTGTGAATGATATGATAGTATATGTAAGCTACATGAAAAAAAAATTACCAGGGAACTCCTACAGCTGAAAAATACCATCAGCAAGGTGGCTGAATACAAGATTAATGAAAAAAAAAATTATCCCTTGTATATGCAAATGACAAACAGGCTGAGAAAGAAATCTGGAAAAAACACCCTTAGCAATAGCCACAAACATTATAAAATGTCTTGACATAACTCTACCCAAGCAACTGAAAGATTTATATGACAAAAACTTCAAATCTTTTAAGAAAGAAATTGAAGAAGATATCAGAAGATGGAAACATCTCCCATGCTCATGGATTAGTAGGATTAAGATAGTAAAAATGGCCATCCTATCAAAAGCAATGTACAGATTCAATGCAATTCCCATCAAAATTAAGACACAGTTCTTTACATATCTTGAAATAACAATACTCATTTTCATATGGAAAAATGAATACCTGGATAACTGAAACAGTTCCACACAAAGAACACCCAGAGGTATCAGAGCATCCCTGATTTCAAGCTGTACTACAGAGCTGTAGTAATAAAAAAAAACTGCATGGTATCCACATAAAAAGACAAGTTGATCAATGGAATTGAATCAAATCCAAGACATAAATCCACACACCTATAGACACCTGATTTTTTAAAAAAGAAGCCAGAATTTTACAATGGATAAAAGAAAGGATCTTCAACAAATTGTCCTGGACTAACTGGATATCTGGATGTAGTAGAATTCAAAAGATCCATAATTATCACCCTGTACAAACCTCAAGACCTCAACATGAATCCAGATACAATGAACTTAACAGAAGAAAAAGTGAAGACAAGTCTTGAATGCATTGGCACACAAGAGATAATTTCCTGAAAAGAACACCAATACTGCAGGCACTGAGATCAACAATTAATAAATGAGACATCATGAAACTAAAAAACTTCTGTAAGGCAAAGGACAGCATCAATAGGATAAAATATTAGTGTACAAAATGACAAAATATTTTCACCAGCCTCACAAATGACAGAGGGCTAATGTACAAAATATATGAAGAAATCAAGAAACTAGATATCAACATACCAAATGATCCTATTTAAAAATATTATATAGATTGAAACAGAGAGTTATCAAAGAGGAAACTCAAATGGTCAAGAAGCACTTAAAGAAATGTTTAATATCTTTAGCCATAAGGGAAATGCAAATAAAAATGACTCGAAGAGTCCATCTTATGCTTGTCAATGTCAGAATGACTAAGATAAAAAAAAAGTAACAGCTCATGCTGGAGAGGATGTGGAGCAAGAGGGAATATTCTTCCATTGCTTGTGTGAGTGCATACTAGTACAACCACTCTGGAAATAAATATGGTATTTTCTCAGAAAATTGGGAAACACCCTACCTTGACACCCAGCTATACCACTCCTGAGCATATACCCAAAGGACACTTTACCATATCACAAGGACTCTTACTCAACAATATTACTAGTAGCTTTATTCATAATATCAAGAAACTGGAAACAACCTAGATGTCCCTCAACCAAAGAATGGATAAATATAATGTGGTACCTCTACAGAATGGAGTATTACTCAGCTGTTAAAAACAATAACATCATGAAATTGTCAGGCAAATGTATGCAGCTAGAAAAGATCATCCTGATTAAGGAAACACAAACCCCAAAATAAAAACATGGTATCTACTCACTTATAAGTGCCTATTAGCTATAAAGTAAAGGATAAGCATATTATACCATCTACAGACCCAAGAGAACCTAAGTTACAAGGAAGGCTCAAGGGTGGTGATGGTGGTACATTAATATCTCTGGGAAGGGGAAATAGAATAGATATCAAGGGTGGGTGGGATGGGAAAAGGAGAGATCAGGTCGGAGTGAGGTGGAGGGAGAGAATATTGGGAGAGACTACTGGAATTTGTGGGTGTCTCAGGGACAAACTAGAAACCTAGTAAACTGGAAACTCCTAAGAATCTATGAGGGTGACCCTCTAGCTAAGATTCCTAGAAATGGGGGATAAGGAGCCTGAACTGGCTATCACCTGTTACCAGGCAAGACTTAGAGTGGAGAAATTGGGACCCCCCAACCCATCCACAAAATCTTCAACCTACAATTTGTTCTTTCTACAAGATATGCCAGGATAAAGGTGGTGCAGAAATTCTGGGATTTGCCAACCAATAAACGGTCTGCCTTGAGACCCATGTGACAAGAGAGACCCCACTCCTGACACTGTATGGAATAATACCAGGACCCAGGAGCTAGATAGCCCAGAGACCTAGGATAGAAGCAAACCTGACTGGCAATAAACTAAACTAAAATAAACTAAAATAAACTAAACTAAAATAAAATAAAAGAATGATTCCTAATGATAGTCGGCTGTACTCATAAATTGGTGCCTAGCCCAGTTGTCATCAGAGAAGCTTCATCCAGCAACTGAAGGAAGCATATGCAGAGACCCATGGCCAAACAGGCAGAACTTGGGAAATCCTGCAGAAGAGGAGGAAGAAGGAATGTAGGAGCCAGAAGGGTCAAGGACATTAAAAAAAAATCCACAGAATCAACCATCCTGGGTTCACAGGAGTTCAACAGTGAATGAACCAACAACCAGGGAGCCTGCAATGGACTGATCTAGTCCATTTTGCATATATATTACAGTTGTGTAGCTTGGTCTTCTTGTGGAACTCCTAACAGTGGGAACAGGGGCTGTCTCTGACTCTTTTGCTGGCTTTTTCACAACATTCTCCTCATACTAGGTTGCCTCATCAAGTCTTAATATGAGGGGAGATGCCTAGTCATACTGCAACTTGATATGCCATATTTGATTGATATCCATGAGAGGCCAGGCTTCTTCTGGAGAGAAATGGATCAGGGACAGAGAGAAAACTGGGGAGACTAGAAGGAGAGCATGGAGGAGAAACTTCAGTCAAGATATAAAAGAAATAATAATAATGATAATAATAATAAAAATGTAAAAATTAGAATAATTTTTAATTTAACAAGACTTCTAAAAGTTCCCCCTCTCATTAGTGAAATATTTCTCTTATATTTCCAATATATAGCTACAAGTGATCAATTATAAATAAAAATATATGTCAATGCTAATTAAATTTCAATTAATTTGTCAATTTTGTATCAATATTTAAAAATTAAAGTCTGAAACATATTGGTATGGTTTTCTCTTTTTTCTACTTAAATAATAGGCATGACAGTATTTTAAAAAATACAAGGTTTTAAAAACTCTTGCTTGTCTTTCACAAGGAGGTGAAATCATACATTGAACAGAGCTAATCAATGTAATTTTTGTGCCCAATTTGATGAAGAGGACAGCTTCTGGAATACAAATATATCTTTAAAAATTGTATAATCCATCTTTAAAGGTATTTAATCTTGATTCAGAATACAAAGATGAAAAATCCTAATCTTAACTGAAAGTTTCATATAAACTTACTAATTGTTTATCTTATTTAAAAACACTCTAAGCACTAGAAAACACATTTCAAACAAATTATCTAAACAGAAATATAGTTGACTTTCTGTGTACTTCTGTGTGAATTGATGCTGCCAAAATACGATTTTAAATATATTTTCTTTAGTAAACTCTGTGGTGTCTTGTAATATTATTGACATCATTTAATTAGCTTAACAAGCTGTTTCCCTAAGAGGAGGTATGAGACTGGCACAGATTAACTCAGAACAAGTTCAAAATAATGGGCTTTGCAAATTGGTGTGGTTTGAATTAA